GAGCAACCTACCAGCCCAGCTGTGTTCAAGTGTAGCTAGAAGATCTGATGCTGTTTAGAAGGTAAAGGGTGGTCACACCTGATTCGGATTTGATTATTTAGTTTATTCTCTGCTTTTTGTTCTCAGATGAACATAAATGAATAACACTTCCATTTCTGAAAGCATTCTTAGTTTACAGGATTTTTTTACACCTGCCTAAACCTTTAGCACAGTTCTATATATATTTGTATATTTTGTATTTGTACCAAATGTGAGTCATGAAAGATAACTAAATGGGTAAATTACAAATAGAAACACATATTTAATTTCATGTGTAAGTGAGACTTCCTAATTTGCTGCTCTGCAACATTTCATACAACACACACATACATGAATATTTTTTGTTGCTGTGTGACATGGTCAGAAATGTCCAGAATGAATAGAACAATATTAAGTTAATACCTCCCTCATTGTCTCAACAGCTGGAGTGAAGACTGGAGCAACAGTGTTCTGTCTGATTCTGAGTCTTTCTCTGTGATGTCATTGGCGGAAAATTGCCAACGTGCCACACAGGGGGTCCGGGGCCGTCTGAATGCCACAGGTGGCACCAGTGACTTAGGTGCTTATTCAGGAAAATGCCGAGACACACCAAAATCCAACAAGAATTGCCTTAAAGGTCAAGGTAATACATAAATGAATCTTAACTTTGATTAATTAATGGAGCCACAAAGAAGATCAAGATTAAACCTTCACGATCCAGACAGCAGTTAGACAAATATAGGCATCCGCTTTATACATTTTTATCTGTTTACCAAAGATATTCAACCTCAAAATGATGTAGAATAGAGCCTCAACTCTGTTTTATATTTATGTTGGAGGAAGAGTTTATGAATGTTTAATTTTTGGCCTGTTTTTGGGTTTGGAGTTTTTGTTGGTTTGGGTTTATGAGCTGGCTGCCGTTTGTTATATAATGGAAATTTGTGCTCTATTATCGTTTTAGCAGTGATGTATTGTTGTGGTCAATTTTTTTTCAATGTTGTTGCTTTAAAGAAGTACAACGTACAACGAAAACAATCCAGACTAAATGAAACAAAATTACAGAGGCCCTGAAAACTATTCCAGAACGCTAATAACACACACACACACACACACACACACACACACACACACACACACACATATATATATATATATATATATATATATATATATATATATATATATATATATATATAAACTCTACCTAGAGAAAAAGTTTCACCCACTTTTATCAACATAGTTTGAAATGCCAGTTTCACTCATTTACAATCCCCTGCAAAAGTATTCATACCCTTTTAACTTTACACACTTTGACACCTTACTACCACAAAATTCAATTAATTTTATTGCGATCTTCTGTGAAAGCCCAACACAAAGTAGCACATAAAACTGATTCTTTAGCACACACTGTTCACTTGCTAGTCACCAGTAACTAGTCGCCAGCTTTGCTCATCTAGAGACTGCAATTTATGCCAATTCTTTGCTGCAAGATAGCTCAAGCTCACCCAGATTGGATAGAGAACATTGTCAAGTTTTGTCACAGAGGCTCAATGTGATTTAGGTCTGGACATTGACCGGGCCATTCTGACAAATGAACACTCTTTGACCTAAACTGTTCCATTAGTTTAGGGTCATTGTGTTGCTGCAAGGTGAATCTCCTTCCCAGTCTCAAGCACTTTTCAGCCTCAAACAGGTTTTCTTCCTGGATTTGTCCTGTATTTAATTCCATCCATATTCCAATCAACTCTGAATGGGGATCCTGACTGACTAAAAAAATAAAAACTCTTAACAGCTTCCCTGTTGAAGAAAAGCATCCCCACAGCATGATGCTGCCACCACCATGTTTCACAGTGGGAACTCTTACTAGGACAGAGAGAAGACTTCTGGAATGCTGATGCTAACATTTTGAATTAGGTGCATCTTCTGCAGTGCTAATTCAAACGTCACACCTAAACGCATCACTAGCCTTTTCCCATTCAATAACCCTACATATCCTTTCCTCCTCCACATAACTCTAAGGAGTCATGTGTCATCTCTCCTTTTCTTTGTGCATACGTGTGTGCATTACAGAACTCATATTACAGGTCTTCCTCTGTCTGCTCAGTTCGGATCACACAGGCAGTGTGGGGCTTTTCCTCAGGCTTGGATCCTCTTGAGGAACTCAGAGCTCCTTCCACTTGAGGCGTTTTTTCTTCCACAGATTTTCTTGGAGGGAATGATACTGCAGAGTATCTGCACTGCGGCATCCTGGTTTTCTTTGTGCTCATTCATTCATTCATTCATTCATTCATATTTGTGAGATATTCTATAATTCACTCTGGTCTGAGAGTTCTGTCAGTGATAAACCTGGATGATTTTAATGATTTTTCCACCCTGCCTGTTACTTATGAAGAAGGATTTTTACCTTTTGTTGCTCATTAGAAAAAGTGTGAAGATCAACTTTGCAAAATGTTGGGGTCTTTTTGATATATATATATATATATATATATATATATATATATATATATATATATATATATATATATATATATATATATATATATATATATATATATATATATTTGTGATTAGTGCAAACATATCTTTGCAGTTGTTTAAATTGTACAAACCTGCCATGAAAGAGCTATGAGATAAGAGCTCAACACTGAGCATTAACTGTAATCCCAGATTCTGTGAATATAGGCTCAGTGTTTTAAGGTCTTGGCCCTGTTGGCTCCTACATGTCTGAAGGAAAGACTTTACAGGGGACATACTGTATGTGCAGTCTCAGTCCAATTTTTACCCTAAACGGAAGACGTTTTGTTAGGTATTTTTGTGCAAATGAGGAGAATCTATTTTATTACTGTTCAAGATAGTGAGAAGAGGATCAGAAGGGTGGGTGGAAGAGTAGAAATAGGTTAGATTGAAAAGTACAGCTGGCTGTCTTTTTGGCAGAATTGGGAATATACATTAAATCAGGTGTCACCAACTCCAGTAGGGCTACCATCCTACTGGTTTTCTGTGTTTCCTGCTCCACCACACCTGAATGGAGTAATTTAATCCTCTCCTTACCACATTCAACTATGTACAGGTCTGTTAAATACTCGTTAGTTTCAACCAACTGTGTGGGAGCAAAAGAAACAGCAAACATGTGCAGGATGGTAGCCCTCAAGGACTAAGGGACTGGAAGCAGCTGAGTCTTGGAAAATCTGATTTGAATGAACTGAGCATGTCCGGAAAATAAGGTCTAAACAAACAAAAGGCTGTGCTAGTAATGCCAACAGAGTATTATCTGTTCAACTCAACTGAAGTTATTTATGAAGCACTAGCCCACAAATCATCTGAAAGCACCAAGCCCAGACTCAGGCCAGATAATTGCGATAGATTAATTATGAAATATCAAATATCTAAACAAAACCTTCGCTTTAATGCAGTGTTTTATATTCTGGACCAGTAAAGCATTTTTGAACAGGAAGTAACCTCCAGCAGAACTTATGCCTCAGCTGACCAGGGTCTGAGAGAACAAGGAAGAGACAAACACTGAAAGACAGGGCATTTCTTGGAGTTGAAAACAAAGTTGGTGACAGCAATTGCAACAACAACAGTAAATCCAAACATAGGGCGTAAAGAAAGATAAGCTTGCAGTGTGAGGCCATGTGGTCAGTAAGACCTCCAGCAGTCTAAGTCTATAGCTGTATAACTAAAGGGATGACCCAGGTAAACCCTAGCGAGAATTATTCATCGCAGCGTGCTGATGAGAGGATGATGGACATTGGAGTAAAAAGTTGGATTTGTTACAAGAATAGATAAGGAACGTTGTCAAAATCCGCTGCAAAGAAAAGATTGTTAATAATCATATCACATTAAAATTCTCTATAATTTAGAGCGGGGCAATAAATCGAAAATTAATTGTTACCAAAATGTCCGACTCTTATCGTGATAATTGCTCCCATGTCAATAAATGTGATGATAAAGAATAGATAAAATGTGTGTAGGTTGAAAACAATCATGTCCCTTTAAGATGCTGTACCACCCTGAGTCACGTAAAAATGTGACTCAACTAAATACATGTGACAGCCCCATCTAGTGGACAACTTTTGTTTCTGCACATACCTGTAGTTATCGTCCATTTATCGTTTTCGAGGTGAAATCCTCAATATATCGTGATATTGATTTTAGGCCATATTGCCCAGCCCTACTATAATTAAATGTAAAAAAAAAAAAAAAAAGACTTAAGCTTAAGTATCCATCTGTCTACCCATCCATTATCTAAGCCCTGACTAGGCTCTCTGCTAGGGAGTCTCCAGCAGTCCTCGAGCAAGAGGGGGACACAAGGACAATCAATCAGTCAAACACTAGGGACAGCCTGACATGCATGTGTTTGGTCTTTGGGAAGAAACCAGAGTATCTGGAGAAAACCCACACACTCATGGGGAGAACACACAAGCTCCACATAAAAAGGCTGCATTTGGGATTACTATTTAACGGTACTTGAAATTTTGAGAAAGAACTGTTCACCACTCTATAGTTTGACTTGCACTGGGTATACTTCAAGCACGGCCCAAATATTTCCTCTTTTGGCTAGCCGCTGAAATGCAGAAGCATGCACTATCGGGCCAGGGATCAAAGATGAACTAAGATTAAAAAAGAAAACTTCTTGAAAAAAAAGTTGAAACTCAGATGTTCTTTTTTTTAGAGCTATCCATGACAATGTGACTTTACAGGATGGATGGATTCATCCTGGGTCAAATATGATGTTATTCAGATTTTCTTCTTATAAAAACTCATTTCCATTCCTGCAATGCAGGTTAGACTTTTTAGCTTTTTAAAAAGAAAATGAGAGATGTTCTTGATTTTATGTATATTTATCGCAAATATGCAACTTTCAACAATTCAGTGATCTGTAGCCAAGTGATGCATTCTGCAGTCTGAACTCTTTAAGCTCACGTGTTCACCTAACTAACGTTGTGGCTAAATTGTTTGTTCTTATTATGTTTCCACAGATTCACATCTGCCATGAGAAGCCCGACTCAGCTATCACCAGACTCAAAGACTGTTCCTACAACTCCAGGCTCTCCTCTATCAGAGACCTCGGCCCCCCTTTCCAGTCTGGCAGTCTCTGTGCCTTCAGTGGCTCTAAGTCCCTCCGTAGAGGAGGAGCGCCCTTTACTGCTATCTAAAAAGAAGAATCAGTCTCATCTGTCCTCAAGGCTAGATGAACAGAAAAGAAGCTTTTGCCACTACAATCATGTGGCTCATAGCTTACCTCCTAGCCCAGCACTTACTGCGAAGAATGTTAAATACGGTGTCACAGGTGAGCATGACACCGCAGCTGTCAGCCAGAGTGTCTCAGCAATACCTGAGAGACTGAATGATCAGATCAACAACACAAGTAACTCAACCACCAAAGTAGCCGCATGCTATGTGCTGCATTACAAGGAATCCAGTGGTGACAGCATGCTGTTTAGTGAAACAGAGGACCTTCAGGAAGGACACTCAGCCTTCATTAATGCAGGCAGCACTACAGCCCTTTGGGATATGGCGAGCAGTAGGACTAACCCAGCATCATCCAACAGTGGCCTGCAAGTAAGATATCACAATCCCGTTTCTGTGTAGAGTAAAGGAAACAGCTTAGGATCCTTTCTGTTTGACAAAGAAAACAGCACTATTAAAGTGTTACTTTTGACAAATGAACTGCTGTGTAAAGCCATTTAAACAAAAACTAGAAATCAAACTTATTTTAGTGACGTAGAAAACAAAGAGTTTTACAAAACAAACAAATGTACAAATGTGTTCATGTGTTGCAGGTAAAGTGCCATATGGTAGTACATAGCAAAGGTTTCTGCAAAGGTGCCTTTTCTGTTTTGTATGCCTCAGAGGGAATACCGTTGCATCACTGTTCTAATTTTTTCTAGATGCATGCTGTCCATACATGCTTTGATGGAATAAAGAAAATGCTGCAGTTTCAGTTCCAACCATTTGCTTTTGACAGAATGCATCCCAGAACTTCTGCACCTGGACTGACGCTCACTAGAAACATGGCTCATTACCTGCATTCAGTGGGAAGTAGAAAAGATATCAGAGATTGTTTTGTTTTTCTCAGGCACTGTACCACACTAGAGTGGACCTGTTTGTCCACTAACATCATCACTCAATTAATATAACTGTGGTATAAATGTGCTTTCAATAAAACCAACTTCTAGCTGTTACTGATGCTCTCACCTATGTACTCAATATAAACACGTAGTTTGGGGGTTTTGACCTGCACATGTCAGGATTACGAGGATAAGTTGCACTATCAAAAAAAACAGTTCTAAAGGTTTCTATAGCTGTGCAGAAAATGGCCAGATGTGAAAGTTTTTACAGTCTGTGAACCTGTCACTCCTGATCGTGATGCGAGTTCGACCAGCTTTTTAGTGCTATGACATGATGATCAGCAAGTGTGCCAACGTGTGAAGACCATAGCAGTGGCTGAACACTGACGCTGAGTAAACCTGCTGGTATGAGTCGCTTCCTGTTCCTGTACGCTGCACACACAAACGTCTGTTCATGTTGGTTTTATGTTGGAAACAGTAAAAGTGTGTTCATGACCCCAGCATAAGTCAAGTTCAAAACAATCTTTGAAGTATAATTTTTCAAAGATTGTTGCATTTCTGTAGTTCAGAAACTGAGAGGCTCCTTCATGGAGACAACTACTGATCACGGTGCGAAAAGGTGAATGCAAGGACAGCTGGCTGGAATGAAGGCGGTCTTTTACATGTGGCTTACATACTCAGAGTAATATATGCATTATATTTTGCTGCTTTCAGTCACAAATCGTATACTTTTCTAAATCTAACTCCTCACTAACTCCAGAAGCTGCTTGCACTTTTTAAATGCTCTAGTTTATGTTCATGTGTGCGGTGTCATTGTACGTGTGATTTCAAACAAGAATAAAAACAAACCTTAAACTCAACTGCTTTGACAGTGTCTTCTAATTTAACATCATTTAAGGGTAATTTTGCCTTCATATAACAGATTTTTGAAAATAAGAACCAACTAACCCATCCTGGAATTAATCAACCAACATGCTTCAGACGGTTTTCACAGACTGTGCTTCGATTAATGGGACAAACATCAGAATTACTAAAGTTATGGGTTTTAACCTATTTTTGCATATTGTCTCATATTTTGCCCTTTCAATCTATAACCCTTCAGCTGTCCCGGCTTATACTGTGAACAGCTCAGGGTACATTTCACTCCAGGGATACCGGTGCATGTGTGACACACACACACACACACACGCACACACACGCGCGCGCGCACACACACACACACACACACACACACACACACACAGGCAGAGCTCAGCACTTATTCTGTGCATTTTGGAGTCAGAGAGACCCTTATTCCCTCCTGGTCAGTGGGGTCGATTTGACACCTAGGAGACTGCGGGAGGGTTAAAATGATCGTCTTTTAGACTTGCAGATTCTCAGCTTTCTCAGACCTGCAGAGATGTAGCTGATAGACTCATGAAAATGTGTAAATAAATACTAGGTTACATGAAAATGAAGCATCAGGGGATGAGTTAGAAAAAACTGGGCCAGAAGCAGAGGTGTGTGAGATCCATAAAGGGGCAGGTGCTTGAAGGGCAACATGACAAATGTCTTCATCTCAGAATGTCGTCCCATACCTTTTCTGTGGCGATGTCAGAGTCGCTGTCAGTGTTGCTGTCATCATCCCCGGGTGAAGCTGGCTTGAAGGAGTTCTTCCCGCTGCCGTCTCCAGCGCCGAACCATGGATTCATTCATGCCAAGCTTACGTGCGGCAGCACCGTTTCCCTCCTTTACTGCCAAATCGATGGCCTTCAACTTAAATGCGGCATCATATGAACTCATACGTGTAGTTTCCATGATAAGGGTGCATGGATTTGAAAAAAAAAATCTTCGTTGTGCCGGCTGCTTGCATGTGCTAAATTAAAATGAGCACTTTCTTCGATTTCCACTTTTGACTCCCACCTGTTTCACTTTCTGCTAAAGCGCCCCCGGCAGGTGAAGGAAAATCTTCAGTAAAGCCGCACCTCATTATAAGCCGCATGGTTCAAAGCGTGGGAAAAAAGTAGCGGCTTATAGTCCGGAAAATACGGTAAATATACATGTACCTTTGTTATTATTTTGCTTCAAATTATTCTCTCAAGTGTTGGTGCTGCTGTAACAAGTGCATTTCCCCACTGTGGGATCAATAAAGTCTATTCTATTCTATTCTATTCCATGTGACTCAAAGGAGAACTGCTGCTCCAGGAGGCATCACATGTATTTACAGGGTAACTTAAATCAAGTATGTGAATGGCTCAGCATTAGAGCCGGTAATGTTCTTAAAAGGTTCCTTCAACAAGCCCAGACTCTTCTGAAATAAGGCATTAACTTTTTAACATCCACAATGAAATGCAAGGAAATATTTACTTGAAAAGTATTTTCAATTGTTTGGTGCTTTGGGATTTATAATATTATAGGTTTAATTCAGATGTATTATTAATAATACATCTGAACTGATAATGGAAGCTGCTTATTTTAGAAAGAGCATTCATACTTGGCACTATTGTTTATTGCATGCTCACCAATCTGTTTTGGGGATTTTTTTTTTCAGATTTGGAAAGAGAACGACAAACACTGACACTAGCCCAATGTTGTTAGTTCCCTCAAATGAATTAAAACTGTTGAGGATAGCTGTGCATCTGCCCCAAACCAAACATCCTTCAAGGTTTAGATAAGATCATGTCCGAACAACTTTCTGTTGTTTAAATGAATACATTTGTGTGATTGTTTCCTTGATGCTAGTCGGGTAAAGCCTCAGCGGTCATGTAGCCACGAGGTGGCAGCAGAGAGTTTGATTTTTTTTATGATAGATAGATAGATAGATAGATAGATAGATAGATAGATAGATAGATAGATAGATAGATAGATAGATAGATAGATAGATAGATAGATAGATAGATAGATAGATAGATAGATAGATAGATAGATAGATAGATAGATATTTCTTAGGTGGTATTTAATATTTAGATAACAGAACATCTGTATTATCCTACCCAGAGAATGTCTGAACATATATATGTCGATGCTGCACACACACACACACACACACACACACACACACACACACACACACACACACACACACACACACACACACACACACACACACACACACACACACACACTGGCTGCTGGTGACTGCTCTCAGCGGGAAGCAGCAGGAGGGTTTGCATGGGAGGGAGGAGAAAGGGAGGAGAAGATGTGACGCAGCGCCAGCCAGCAGCTGCCGCCTCACTTCCACTATCCGCCGCCCGGAGGTCTCACGGCGGCTCGTAAAGCCTCCACAAACGCCAGGATATTCGGCTACAGAGTAAACCGGGGCTGCTGGGCGCGATGAGGTGGACGGTCAAAGGACAGCTGCCGTCCTGGGCCTCGGGTCCGCGCTGAAAGCCGCAGCTGTAACCGCGGAGGTGTGCTTTCATTGTGTGCTGAGTGGCGCAAGAGAAGAGGATGCCTCCACGGCCAAAGGCACTCCTCCCATTCCCGTCGAAACGCTCGGTTATTGCCCGACACAGAGTGTCTCTGTCCCCCCTGACGGCGGGGTCGTTGTCCAGGAGCGCGCTGATTTCTGAGGAACCATGTCCACCATGCTGCCCGCTCTGGATCCATGAGAACTTTCAATGAAAACAACAAAACGGAGGAGGAGGAGGAGGAGGAGGGCTCCGGCTTCAACGCCATGGAGGAGAAGGAGGATAACCTGAAAACGGCCAGGTTGTGGAGGGATGCCGCCCTCCGCTCCAGGAAACTGCGGAACAACCTTCCTCAGCTCACCCTTTGCCCGAAAAACAACGAGATTGTTCTCCCTGAGAACATCGAGGAGATAGATGCTCTGAACCTGGGCAACAACTCCCTGCAGGAGCTGCCAGAAGGACTGAGAGCCACCCTCAACAACCTGCGCACCCTTGTTCTTCGCAGGAATAAGTTCACCAGTGTGCCCCAGTTGGTGTTTGCGCTGGGACAACTGGTGGAGCTGGACATGAGCCACAACTGCTTGAGAAGCCTGTCTGACGATGTGGGCCAGCTGAGGAGACTGAAGAAATTGTGCTTCAGTCACAACAAAATCCAGAACCTGCCAGCCCAGTTTGGAGCCCTTCAGTTCCTGGAGGAGCTGGACATCAGCTTTAACGACCTGCACGACCTCCCCAGGTCGTTCTCCAGCCTCAGCATGCTGCGGACTCTGGATGCAGATCACAACAAGTTGAACCTGTTTCCTGCTGAGATTCTGGCTCTGGGTGAGCTGGAGGAGCTCGACCTGTCCGGGAACAAGTTTGAGGCTCTTCCCGTGGACATCGTCAGGCTGAAGTCCACCAAGATCCTTTGGCTCAGTAGCCTTCACATGTCCTCCCTACCTGACACTTTATGTCTCCTGCAAAACTTGGAGAGTCTGATGTTGGATGGAAACAACCTCACAGCACTGCCTTCCTCTTTCGCTCAACTACAGAAACTCAAAATGATTAATCTGTCTTCTAATGAGTTTGAGAACTTTCCACAGGCTATTTTAAGCATCACTGGGTTGGAGGAACTTTACCTCAGCAGGAATAAACTCACTCACATTCCAGAGGAAATTGGCCAGCTGGTGAACCTGGTAAACCTCTGGTTGGACAATAACAACATCTCTCACCTACCCGATTCTGTTGTTGACCTGGAGAAGTTGGAGGAGCTTGTTTTACAGGGTAACCAAATAGCCATCCTTCCAGATAATTTTGGGAAACTGTCCAGAGTGAACATTTGGAAGGTAAAAGACAACCCCCTCATCCAGCCTCCGTATGAGGTGTGCATGAAGGGAATCCCGTACATTGCAGTTTACCAGAAAGAGCTCGTGCAATCACAAGTTGCTGTGAAGCCACGTCTGAAAATGGTGCTGATGGGGAAAAAGAATGCTGGAAAAACTCTCTTGAGGCGAAGTTTGGTGAGCAGCGAGCAGGATGCCAGAGGAACCCAGGGAAACAAAGGGATTGAAGTCACTAACTGGGTGGCAGACCCTGATCGCCGTCTCACATTCCTGTTGTATGACTTGTCAGGGAATCAAAACTATGACCTCATCAAACCATTTTTTCTCTCCCCTGGTGCTCTCTACGTTCTTGTTGTGAATCTCAAAGAATACTCATCCAAGAGCTTCTATGAGCACGTTGGCTATTTCCTTCACTTGCTGTGTGCCAAAGTCCCCCATGCTGTGGTGTGTGTGGTGGGCACTCATGCAGACCTGTGTGAGGACATGGAACTAGAGGAGAAGACTCTGGACATTCACAGACAGATTGGTCTTCAGGAGAAGGGCGACCTCCAGAGCCTAAGAAACCTGGCGCACCAAGTAGACCAAGCTCTGGAGCAAGGCTACGATGCCCGCTCCTCGAGTCCACATGTACTTTTCTACGGTGTCACTGACAGGAACCTTCGGAGCAGGAAAGCTCAGCTGCAATACATACTGAAGCACCGGCTGCAGATCTTGTCCCCTGTCCTGAGTGTCAGCTGCTTGGAGACCCAGAGGAACATTCAGAGGCTGAAGGAGAAGCTCATGTCAATTGCAGACCAACAGGAGATCTTTCCCAACCTCCATCGCGTGCTGCCAAAGTCTTGGCAGACGCTAGAGGAATTGCACTTTAAGTCCAAAGATTTGTGGCTCTCATGGTGGAGCTCAGCCCGCCTGGGCCTTCAAGCAGGACTCACGGAGGACCGACTGCAGAGTGCTCTGTCCTACCTGCACGAGAGTGGGAGGCTGCTGTACTTTGAGGAAAATCGAACCCTAAAGGAGTATGTTTTCCACAATCTTCCACATTTTATTGCAATTCTCAACGTCTTCTTCCAGAGGGACGAGTCCACGCTTTTGGATCGACTTCTGTCTGAGGGGGAGAGGGGAGACAAGGGGAGAGTAAGTCTGGTTGTAGAAGATGAGAAAGGAGAGAATCTCAGGGTCACTCATCTTCAGCACCATGTGGAGGACTTCCTCCAGCATGGACTCCTGCCCTCAAATATCATCCGCCTTCTCCTTAGACCACTCATCCAGACACAACAGGATCTCCATGTCATTATGGAGCTCCTGGAAAAGATGGGGATCTGCTACTGCATCAAAAAACCCAGCACCAAGCCTGTGAACGGAGCCCCGACATGGTACAAGTTCCCCAGCTACGTCAGCAGTGATGAGGCCTGGGTGGAGGACTCGGCTGGTGGGAACGTGCTGCCTGTTAATCCCCTGTTTTCGGTGGAGCAGCTGCACATCCAGTACAGCTTCCCGTTCCTGTTTCCTCCTGGACTATTCACACGCTTCAGTGTGCAGATAAATAGCCACGTTGTCCAGCGATCAGACAGCAGGCATCAGATTTTTGCCTATCGGGGCAAAGTTCCCGTGGTGATCAGCCACCACCCCTCTGAAGGGAAGCTGCTGCCAGCGACGCTGTCCATCGCCAGCCACGCCTCACTGCCCAACATCTGGACCGCCTGGCAGGCTGTCACCCCGCTGGTGGAGGAGCTGAACGTGCTGTTGCAGGAGTGGCCTGGCCTGCACTACTCTGTACATATTCTCTGTTCCAAGTGCCTCAAGAGAGGGTCGTCCCACCCACACGCCTTCCCAGGTAAGCCCCTCCCCCTTTTAACCTGCTGTGTTCATCCAGGTTCAGATCACCTACTCTAGACCAAACACAATAACCAATATATCCTCTTTATTACACCCCTCAGGTTAGACTGATTATGATGAGTAAATCTAAAATATTTTGTTTCATTTTTGCATTCATCTTAGATCTATAGCACTGCAAGGTTTTCTTTTTATACCTAATTATAGTAAAAATGTATATAACTGTATGTTTTTATAACCATAGATAATATTTCTAAAAAAATTTAAACAGCTTTGGGTACCAAACCTGTTCTGTCAACAGTCCGAATATGTGTGTGGTTCTTGAGCTGTTGTGGCCCAAATTCTCCTCAGACACACCTCTACAGGATCTGTGCAGGCAGGCTTTAGTTAACAGAAGTGTGTGTGGGGCTCTTGAGGGTTGACTGGACCAGGTGCCTAACAGAGACTTCTGACGCTGAACCCCTGCAGCTGTCAGTAATTCAGCTCAGCCACACCCTGATTCCCAACAGGCTGCTGCAATAGACTGATGCTGAGGGTGGAACAAAGCTGCAGTCTCTAGGTTAGACAAGAGCAGGGTGCACAGACAACACCCCCACCACCACCAGGGGCAGAACCAATCCACAGAGCTGGTTCAGGCTGCAGCTGCAGGGTGACCTGCTTTTGGTGATGGGTACTGGTTCTACTGGTAGATTATCTGCTCTGTGACTGGCCGTCTGCTGCAGAGCGCTGTGGTGTCATGTGATCTGATGTTATGTGATACAGAATGAAGCTGGAGGCTGTCCGTGCTCTTGTTTATTACATTTAAACATCATCCACAGCTTTAGTCTCTCAGCTCTGAGAGCTTCACATGCAGCTCAATTTCAAATCTGAGCTGAAAACTTGCTGAGAGCTCTTCAGATGAAGACAAAAGGAGGTGTAATCTCAGATTAGAAACCAATTTGACCTCCGGGTTTCATAGAGTTCTCATAGATGGAACCTGCTTTTGTGTAACAGAAGGCACCATTTCTGTCTTTGGCTTAAAAAATGTGATATGTAGAGCTTTAAACAACCAATACAAATTAATCTAGTAGTGTAACTCATGGTTTTGTGGAAAAATGCTTGTCAGGCAGCTGCTGCCACCTGCTAATCTTCAATTCTCTGAATTATGAATGATGAGTTATGCTTTATGCTGTTGTCTTCACTCACTTAGGCCCATTTGTTTTCCACCTCATCTATAGTTTCAGCTGAGCAGCTGTAGTCCTGTAACTTCAACTTCAACATTTGTGTTTGATGGTACAGAAAACTCATATCCTGAAGAGAAAACTTCCTGGAAGCATATTTCTTTAGTTTAGAACACCAGCTGTGGTGGCGCTGCACTCAGACAGTTTTAGCATAGCGTTCAGTGTCCTCGCTGTGAAGATATCTGAGAGTTTTGTTGAAGTTGCGGTCATCCTGATAAGAGACAGAAACTTCCTGCAGAACGTCTTCAGCTCAAGCAGATCGGTAAACAAGACAAGTGCATGCTTTCATCTGACTGAGTGTGCAAGCAGCCATGGACTTGTTTCTTCCTGCTCATTAAAAAGGAGACAAGAGGTTGTGGGTGGTTGGAGGAAACGGGTGGCTGGTCTGGTTCAGGATGGAGTCGATCAAGTTCAGAGGTTCGTTAGGGCTGCATGATATTAGGACAACCTGCGATGCGCCATAGCAGTGATTAATATTGCTATGCGATATGACTTAAACAGATACTCAAGAACAAAAAAATAAAAAACTAAGTAATTAAAAAAATCAAAACATATCGTAAAAAATGGGAAAGTAAACATCGTGATCAAAAGATATCAGAAAAAGGTAAACAATGAACAAGAAAAGACAATTGGCGGATTCTGGGAAAAGCAGAATCAACAGAAAGAGCAAAACAAAGTTAAGGTGTTTGCTAGCCATCCAAACTAAGTGCCGTCTGCCTAAGGGCACAATAGCAGTGATAAACGTAGAAAATAAAATCATGAGTATAAACAAAGTGAAGGTGTGAACCCGAACAAAGCCATCATTCTGAAACATTTAGGGAGGGAACGCCTGGATGAAAAGGTGAGTTTTTAGATGATTTTTAAAGACCTCTACAGTGTTAGAGAGACGGAGATTTGAAGGTAGACTGTTCCAAAGTCTGGGTGCAATAGTCTGAAAGGCCCTGTCCCCTTTGGTTTTCAGTCTGGTTCCAGGAACAGCCAGGAGGTTTTCAGATGTGGATCTAAGGTTCCGAGAGGTGGTGTGTGGGGATAAAAGCTCAGATAGGTAGCTTGGAGCCTGGTTGTTAAGAGCTCTATAGGTCAGGACTAAAACTTTAAACTGTATTCTATATTCTACCGGGAGCCAGTGGAGGGACTGTAAAACTGGAGTGATGTGAGCTCGTCTGCTGGATTTGGTTAGATGTGTATTGCCGATATCACAGCGACAATACATTTGGGATGTATTGTGCAGCTCTATTTATTAACTTATAACTTTTAATAAGCTCTTATAAGTTGAAGTTCTTCATTTATTTTATTTGTGGTTTTTAGTGGTCGAAGGTTACAATACTAGCTTACTCCCTATGTGCATAAATACACGTATCTTTGTAATTTCTAGTTTATAGAGGCTCAAAGATCAGTTTTAAATGACTGATAAACTGCATTCTTGGTCTCCTTTAAAAAAAACAACGTACATTTTTTTTACTTTGCAAATGTTCTTATTGGTTCATAAGTTAAGTTCAGTGCATGCTTTTAAACTCCACAGGGATTCAAAATGTACTCTACCATAAATGTTAAGAGTCATACTTGTTGGGTGTTTTACCTCAAATTTTCACTAGATGTGTTTGCTCTGTACACCAAAAATTATTTTTTATTTTCATTATCTAAACATGAAACACAGGCATGTAACCAACCCACTGTAAAATACTTAAATTAGAGATTAGTTGTTTCTTTGTCCGTTGAAACATGTGCTAGTGTGGCTGTTTACCTTGTCTAGTACCTTTAATATTTAAAACCTAGAATGATGATGATGGTGATGTTCACTTTAGTTGCATACAGGATATTTTATTCACTATCATATTTACAGATTTTTGTTTGGCCAGTCATGTAAAAATAGCAGAAAAAGCATAAAACTGATTTAAATGGAGTGAGTCTGGACTAACACTTGAGCTGTTCCTTCAACTCACTCTCCGGCTAGTTAGTTCAACTTGTGGGTTTGTCTGCAGATCGGTGGATGGTGAATTCCTTCCAAATTCCTAACCTTCTCAGGACGTCACATGGGTACAAAATTAGATGGACACAAAAATAGCAGGAGCAGAGCTGATCCTGTCCGGACAGCTCAGACCCGTTTCTGCTTCAGGTTGGTGAGGGATTACAGTCGGCACATGCAGCAACACACTGGCTTATTTAAAGCTGCCGCTGGTTTAGTGTGTTGTTTACCAACTTCAATCTGTTTTCTGAGTTCATGTTAGATCATTGTAATGTAAAGCAAATGATCAGGAGGTAGTTGCAACCTGTTTTAGTTCATTTGTTAAAGTTAAAGTCCCATTAGTTGTCACACACACAGATGTGTGTGCGAAATTTATTCTCCGCATTTGACCCATACCCTGGGGGAGCGGTGAGCTGCAGACACAGCCGCGCTCGGGAACTATCCAACCCCTTAATGCTGAGTGTCAAGCAGGGAGGCATTGGGTCCCATTTTTTCAAAGTCTTTGGTATGACCCGACCAGGAATCGAACCCCTGATCTCCCAGTCTCAGGGCGGACACTAGGCCACTGAGAATAGATGCTTTGTATAGATTCAGCAGCAGTTTGTGTATTTAGATGTGAGAAGTGGATCTTTGGAGAACCCGTGGCTCTGCAGTGGTTCTGGTTGCAGAACTTTCACTCTTGCTGCAGATCTCAGTCAGACTCCTAATCCAGTTACAGGATCCGCTGGGATTACAGCTTTGCATTCAGCTGATGAGCAGCGAGGCGCTCACATGCAGCAGATCTTATTTAACTCACACTAGTGTGAGTGTATCGGATAGGAGAGGAGCCGCCCATCCCTCAGCCGTCGCCTCCGCCTGCCTCACCTCCACACAGCCGTGTTGTTTTAGCTTCAGGCTGCCACGGCCCAAATTTGTTTCACTTGTATTTTAGTGGTGAACCTGAGCCAAGGAGCAGTTGGTACTTGTCCTGCCTCCAGCTTCACTGTAACTAAAGCTACATGAATCGCTTATTAAATCATTTCTATGGACGTGATCAGTGTGAAGTCACTGGTCGCCTGCCAGAAATCCTCCTGGGAACACATTTTATTCTCACAACAACGATTTCCTGTACAGCCTTAAGCGTAGTTTTCCTTCTGGTCAGTGAACTCATCATCACGTAGTTCCTGTGGCATCATTCTCAAGCTGTACTTTTCAGAATTTGTCAAATGAGCAAATCTTGAATATGAAGACTGATGAGTTTTGGAAGGAAAACGAGCAAACAGGAGATTGTTCAGCAAGAATAATTTACAGTTATTTTGATGTTTTTACATATATTTAGCATAGCGGTGTCCTAATATATTGAAGCAGTGGAAAATAAACAGTCCAGTGCAGAGAAGCTGCTGCTTCCTCTGATTGGCCGACCTGATAAATGTTTGTATTTCCATTAAAACAGAGTATCCCAGTGTTTACAGAAGCACGAGTTCATCATCCTCTTTCTGGCAGATCCAGGCTTTCTGCTTCTTGTACGTGCACATTCGTCTTTACTTTCTACGGCTGTTTTCTCGGGCCTTACCCCTGAGCTGAAGAAGCTGGAGGACAGAGCTGTCTGTTCTAGGAGCTTCATCCACCAGGGTCTTTCTCCACAGAGTGTTGTTCTGCTCCCTGCAGCATGACTGTAGGGGGTGAGACCGTCTGTATGGTAAATCCTCTCCACCCTAGCCGAGACATGATGGCACCACTCTGGAGTTTGGGTTTACTAGCAGATGCATTTGGCTTAGTTACTAGGTCAGCCAACAGTCAGTGTTTTATCCATGGCGGGGATGCTGGCGTCAGACATTTTGGCCTCGAGCGAAGTCCAGGTCCATGTCAGTTCAGTTCAAAAGCCAGGGAAGGTGAAGAATCTGTGTCTGTGCTTGTTACCCCAGGAGAAAATAACTACCCTCAAGTCTGTAGGTGTTTACGAGGCGGAGCAGAGCGTGGCACTGTGGAACAACTACAAACGGTCAGATGTTTCTCCGTTCACATAGGGAGATGTTTCAGAATGAGAAGATCCTGCTGCAGCTTCTTCCTGGCTGCTAAACTCAGGCTTTGTCTTTGGATAAACCACCCCAGGCCTCTAGAGCTTCCTCATCCTCTGCTGAAGAGAAGCTGAAGACTCCGATGCAAAGACCTGGGTCCAAAACTTGCACCCATCTTTCTTCTGGATTGTCTTTATGACACTCTGACTTTGACGTGAGTGTATAAAAGCAGAGTGTTTTGGTCCTGGGAATGTTGTGCTCTCAGTAGCGTGTCTCGTGTTTGTCTAGCAGCCTGTTGAGGCGTGTCTGAGCTCGTCACGAGTTCCATGTTGACCCGATGAGAGGATGTAGTGCTCATCTCTTAGTTTATGTTTCGGCTCTTTTCAGAGAAAGACAAACATAGAATCACTCCTCTAAGATGTTTATTTAGCTGTTTTATTTCACAGACCGCTCTGAAATGTAACACATTACTCTCTTATCTTATATCTGAACACTCGGATTTCTGTTGAAATGGAAGTATTCATTTGGAATTTATTATTCAGATCAACTAGATTTAAGAAGTGCTTGAATTGCTTAGTAAGGAATTGACAGGAAGAGGATTTTAGACGAACAGAAACAAGAAAACAGGTGGATCACTTCCCTAAAACTGCAGCACAGAGCTTCTCTCTTGAAAACAACTACAGAGCTGTTCTTCAGTTGTTTGATGAGTTTTACAAAGCTGGAGTGTTGCGTTGGTTTTGTGTGAATCAGAAAAATTATGCAATAAACGGTTGTCCTCCTACATAAGCCTACAATCACTCTACTACCGCAGACACCTGAGTCAGGCTGCATCAGCCAGGAGGGTTTTCTCAGCAGATCCATGGTGACTCCTTAACGGTGTGATGTGTGTGAAATGGATGACAGAAGGCTTTGATCACCAGTGGATCAGGAAATCTGGACAGATTCTGTCTCCTCCTGCACAACTCCTCCTCAGTCATGTTAACTCTCACAGTGGATGTAGGTTGTCTGTGTTCTACATGTTGAACATTTGTTTTGCTCTAATGTGCAAACTGTAGGATGTCATGATTTCCTGCAGACCTGCAGAAGTAGTGTGATGACTCCCGTACCACGTGGATAGGGTTGCAGACCAAGGTCAAAGTTGTTGGTCCGGATCCATTTTTCATAATGGCTGCATCAGACTACATCATCATCACTCTTCTCTCTGGTTTTAGTTTCCAGAGGCCGATGGCTATCGTTTCCCTGAAACATATTCATAATGATAGAAACAGCTGTTGAGATTGAACATGGTTTCGGTGACTATGTCTGTGAAGGTTCTCAGTCATCCAGGTCATTGTAGTCTAATGAGCTTTGAAAGAAAAGCATCTGGACTTCTTTGAGTTGCTTGAAGACGTTTCACCTCTCATGCGAGAGGCTTCTTCAGTTCTAAGGTCAAATGGTGGAGAGTCCCAGATTTAAACCCAGTGGGAGTTCCCCCCCCCCGAAGAGGGAACAAAAGACCCCCTGATGATCTTCTACATAAACACATGAGCCAAGGTGTGAGGTTGGGTGTGGATCCTATTCAGCCAGAGTTTCGGGTGAGCTCATTGTGAAACCTGGCCCCACCCTATCATGTGAATTCCTGAGGTCAGATGGCCCAGGATATGCGTGGGCGTTGAGGCATCTGGGAAGGGATCTCAAAACTGGATTATAGATGGCAGACAGTCGGTGTCGTAAACCACCGCCTCTGTTCAAAGATGGTTGCTCACAGTGGACATAAATGGCTTCCTTTACTCCTCTTTCAAACCATCTGTCCTCTCTGTCCAAAATGTGAACGTTGGCATCCTCGAAAGAGTGACCTTTGTCCTTTAGATGCAAATGAACTGCTGAGTCCTGTCCCGTGGAGGTGGCTCTTCTATGTTGTGCCATGCGCTTGTGAAGTGGCTGTTTGGTTTCTCCGATGTAGAGGTCTGGGCATTCCTCGCTGCACTGTACAACATACACCACATTGTTCCGTTTGTGTTTAGGAGTTTTGTCTTTCGGGTGAACCAGTTTCTGTCTGAGTGTGTTGCTGGGCCTGAAGTACACTGGTATGTTGTGTTTGGAGAAAACCCTCCTGAGTTTCTCTGATACACCGGCTACATAGGGGATGACTAATAAAACATCTGAATTTCTGATGTCTGGCAGCAAAACGATGTTAGGTGAAAGCAGCAGTGACACGTTAGCAGCTTACGCCCTTCGTAAAGGACTTGGTGACGTTAACTTTAATTTATATCTAATGAACATAGTGTATGAGTGTAGATAATGATTCACTTGTTAAACCAAACATTACTGATCATAACATCAAAATGTTTCCTTGTAACATTAAAATTAATTTCAACTTCATTGAATTAGGCACAGATTATCCAAATATTAATATTAGTATTCATATAACGTTTGTTCATTCAACCATATGTTTATTTAATGATTATTTATCTTATGAGTTGTAAAAGTTCTTCTTTCATGAGAGTGTGCAATCCTGCGGTCTTATCAAAAGAAGGCTTTGCTTGGGAACATAGGCTGACATCTTGTTCCCCCTCAAATGTCAACAAGGGCTGCAGAATCTTCTGGGCTTTAGAAGACAGGATCGAAACTCCACTCAGATAGTGGAATTAGGTCTGTAGGTGAACAGACACTGTGTAGGTCAATATGTAGGTGAAAACTGACCCTTCCTTGGACGCTACACAGTAGGGCTGCAACAACGAATCGATAAATTCGATGAAAATCGATTACTAAAAGCGTTGGCAACGAATTGCGTCATCGATTCGTTGTGTCGCACAACTCTTCCAAAAGCGCCCCCCCTTCCCGCCCGCCGTTGCGCGCAGACCAGAGCAAGTCAGATCAGCGCGAGGGAGAGCCGCAGATCAGCGCGAGGGAGAGCCGCAGATCAGGGCGAGGGAGAGCCGCAGATCAGCGTGAGGGAGAGCCCGTACCGGCAGATCAGCGCGAGGGAAAGCCGGCAGACTTGCGCTGCTGCGAACCGGTTCCGCATTGTTGCACAGCGATCCAGGCAGCTGCTTCCAGCGCACGGTCCATTCTCAAAGTGGCGCAACCAAAAAACTATAATTAGCACACGATCGTTCATGTCCACACATGTTCTCTATTTTCTGTCTTATTTGTGCCTGAAGCGCGCTACTGCGGAGCTCATCACCTGTGCTGTGGTGATGTCACCTCACGCAGCATCGAAAACGCACTCTGAGCTTTTCGGTCAGGAGATCCCTTTGATCTGCTCAAAAGTAACTGATGAGGTGAAAAGGTAAGAATCCAGGCAACAGATTTTCTGGAGAATTAAGAGGAGATGCAGGAAGATGAGAGACAGACAGGACAGGAAAATAGTTCAATAAAAACAAGAAAACAAAACAAAGTGTTGAAAAGTAAAATGTAGGTAGATTTACCTCCACTACACGTTTTTACCAGTAAAAAACAATAAGTTATACACATGTAATATTTATACATCTGATACAATTCAGATCACCTTCAAAACTCAGTCACACACCCAGGGCCGTTTCAAGACATTTTGGGGGCCAAGGCAAAATGCGATCCCCCCCCCCCCCCCCTCCAATAACTGGGCTCCCCAGAAGCCTCTGTGTAATCCATGCCCTCTCCAGTAGTATTAGTTATACGGTGTTTATAAAAGCCCCTCAGACATTACTGACATGTTCTAATATTATCAGATGAAAAACTAAATTATCAGACATGCTGTCTCCTCTGCTTCTTTTATAAACTTGCAAAAAGTAACAAAACCATTTGAAAGCCACTATTTGTGGATTCTCTGAAAGTTTCCATGGAGTGTGTGACAACTTATTTTTTCATTGATCCTATCGTCTAATCTCACAGCTGAAACGAGCATCCTTAATAATCTGTGCACAGGAAGCTTACCGATGCTGTAGTAAAACAAAAGGTATAATAATTTATTATTAATAAAACCTTGTTGCAGCACTAAAGCAGAAAAATTAGATTTTGCATTAAATATGCAAAATATTTACATATGAATTGTTTTAGAGCCCTTTTATTGGCAGAATCTGATATTAATTTAGTTCTTACAAAAAATGGGTCCCAACATGGTTTGTGTGGCGTTGCCATAGTGTGACGTCATAGGCACAGATCCCCTGTCCTCTTGTTTGGAAATGGAAATATGGTCACCCTACATTACACAAACTGTCCACCCGGGCTTTTGCGCTGCACAGAGACGCTTCGCTGCCTACGACTTTGAACGTCAGTTGAGAGTCAGTCTCATGCAGACTGACCAATGAAGAGAGGGCCTCAAGTTAAGACCCTCTCCTCATTGGTCAGTCCACACGAGGTGGGTCAAAGGTTACTCTGGGCGGGTTACGTGTTGTCAGGCATTCAAGTATTGAGTATATTTACTGCATATTACAGTAAAATATTCTGTATGTGACCACATTATGGTGATCCTTGGGTCGTGATGATGGAGCCCTTGAATATTGTTGCCCAGGGTACAACAAAGTGTTAATCTGGCCCTGGTTCCGCCGTCACATTCCCGCAGAAACTGGTTGATCACACCGGGGCCAGACTACTAGCATGTGGTTTTACAACCACAATGTCCTCAGAAGCAAAAACGCTTTTAAAAGGGAGGGAGGAGTCCTAACTGTTGCTGCAGGCGTGTTGTGTGAGAGTGCAGTTATATACTGGTTAATATATTTTTGGGTTCAGTTGCTTTCATGTGGCCTAATGTGAGTCTATTTGGGATCATTGGAATGATCAGCAGCATTTCTTGATGTGACTTTATGGCAGTTGCCCAGGGCATCATCGCAAGGAGGATGGCATTCATTTACTTTTGTTTTATTTGGTATTTTTTCAGTCATTTTTGGAAATAGTGATCAATTTTGATTAATTCACAGCCTATGTTTAATTACATTTAAAATAAATGTCAACAGATGAGATCAAACAAAACAGATGAGAATTGCCCTTAAGCTGTTTAACTTGGACCAAGCATTTTAGGTCACAGATAGATGTAGCTTAGGGTCTCTGTCTATGCACCTTATAAGACAATTTAGGTGATGGCATGTTGTTTTTCTGCTATTGAACTGTTTTCTAATAATGTTGTGTTAAATAAAGTGAAGGAAGGAGAGAAATAACGTTTCCCTAGCAGTTTTTAAAAATTTCCCCATGTAATCCGATTAATCGATTAATCGTGTCGAGACCCCATCCGATTAATCGATTATCCAAATAATCGTTTGTTGCAGCCCTACTACACAGGCCAACAGCAGTAATCAAAGCAAACAAAGACCGACACTGGCAGTGGTTGAGCATCTTAAAAAGTGACTGAAAATAGGATTTTAACTGTAAAATAGTCCTTAGTTTAGTTCTGTTTCTCATGCGGTACAACAACGTGTTACAATAGAGAAGGATATGAATATGTCCCCATTTCTTCAGTCTAGTCCTTGGTGTCGACCAAAGCAGCAGTTTCGCTTTCCTGTCTGGTACCACCTGGTTCTGCTCCAGGTTTGGACCTGCGCCGTGACGAGTAGCTGCACTCCACCACATGCTCCTCGGGATGTGTCTAGTTTGTCTGCAGCTGCTGAAGGAAGGAGATAAGCTGCTTGGTCTCTGGGTCTGGCTGATGGTAAAGCATCAGTCTGAGCCTCACCCTGGTGCTTTATTCTGCTCCATTTCACACAGCCTGGTTTTATCCTGTGTGACATGATCACACACACACACACACACACACACACACACACACACACACACACACACACACACACACATGCACACAGACACATGTGTATCTTGCAACAGAAATCTTGGTAATACAGTCTTGACTGCATCATATAATAACTTGGGAGTCTGTTTCTCCTGTTTTATTTTCATATCAGATGATTTGATGAGGATTTGAAAAATAAAGATCCAGAGGATTGAAGATACAGCTGTCAAAGTCACCATTTCTAGTGGTTCTTCAGCCATACTGAAGTCTCTTCTGTTCTTCTAAATAACAGGCGTTGCAACTGACAAACATTTGTAAATAGCAGGAATGACGCAAGAAAACACATCGTACACAAGAAATTAGTTCATCACAACAACATCTGTACAAAGTTTCAGCTCAGCAGTTGTTTGAGATTTATGTAACATCTACCAAGTTCAGATGTGTTGGTGTCTGCAGATACAAACCCACTAGCAACTTCTTTAGTAGCCGCCAGCTGGGGTGACAATTTATAGAAACATGGATTTGTACGACGGGCGCTTTGATGTAAGGTTTGTCATCAGCTGCCCTCCGTCAGACAGTGAAGCAAACTTCAGGTGGTCCTGCAGTGTGTGTGTGTGTGCGTGTGTGTGCGTGTGTGTGTGTGTGTGTGCATGTGTTGTGGATGATCTTCTATTTTAACCCTCTTCTGTGTTAATCCTATAGGTCTCTCTTGGCTTTCCAGCAGCTGCTGCTCTCTTGTTCTTGGGCCAGTTCAGTACCTGCTGGCCTCCAACCAGACTAAACACCGGACATGTTTTGGAAAAAGACAACAGTTTTTTTCGTTACACTCAATCACCTGCATCTTTAAACAGGACAAGTACGCAGCAGCACTAATACAACGTAACCTGACCCAATCTTCAAATCAATCAGTTTATATAGTGTAAAATCATGACGAGTCGTCTCAAGGGACTTCACAAAGTAAAAAATTCCAGTTGAGTCCAGTTCATTATTCCAATTACTTCAAAGTTTCTTATATAAGGAGCCCCGCAGATTGCATCGATTTGCTGACTTGTGTCAGTGTCTTTACAGCAATCTTCATACTAAACAAGCATGAAGCGACAGTGGAGAGGAAAACTCCCTTTTAGCAGGAAGAAACCTCCAACAGAACCTGGCTCAGTGTAAGCAGCCATCTGCCACGACTCACTGGGGATTAGAGAAGACCATTCAAAGATCAACATCACCATCTGTCCACACCAGGCCCCCCAATGCAGCTGAAAAATTGAAGCAATCTCGGAAGTACCAAAAATTGCAGTTCCACCCTCATCCGCTGGGGGCTGGTGTTAGAAGCGAGCAAATCCTCTTTGACTCCCATGTTAAAAATACCAATTTCACAGCAGAAATGAACATGTTTACAGCCTGGTACCAAAACATGTTTTTGGTTTAAATTATCTAGTTTACACTCATGACAACTCTGAGGGGGCTGAATTTTTTTCTCACTCTGTTCAAGTGTATTAAAAGCCTAAACTTCTGTATAATTAATGAGCATCAGACCCACGTGACCACAGAGCTAGCTCCGTGGAAAGGCCTCAGTAGAGCCTCGGTCTGGCCTGGAAACTGTTCCGGGATTTTGAGTCTCTGTGTTTGTGTATTCTTGTTTGGATATTTTTTGTGCAATTGTTGGACAAAATGACTTGCTTTGGCATTAATTGCACGAATAAAGCGTCCAAGGAGTCTCCACTTCATTTTTTTCAGTAAGTAAAATTATATTTATGTATTTTAGGTCACTGCCGAGCTGAGCTTAGATTTTAACATGTACTGTTTAACCATGCCATTTAAATGTAATAGGGTAAAACCCAGTGCATTTCACATGATGCTGCACTTTAGAAAATGGGTTGAAATATGACATGTTGGTGGAGCTGGGTTCCCACTATCGGCTTGTGGAGATCTTCTCCCCTCCCCGCAGCTCGGCACATCTCTGTCTGATCGCGGCTTCTGTCTGCTGCGCGGGCTGCCAGCTTGTGGAGCTCTGGGATGGAAAGCTCTGGGATGGAAACCTTTCCACCTGGTTCTCCCAAGCGGCAGCTCTGCACATCTCAGATCGCAGCGGTGCTTGTCTGCTGTGCGGCTGCCGGCTTGTGAAGCTCTCGGGAGACCTCTGTGTTCCACCCGGTTTCACCCAGCAGGCAACCCAGTGTATCTCTGACTCAGAAGCTCTGGTGTTGTGCACAGTTAACTCCGGTTGTAGCTAGGTTGCTACCTCCGTTAGCTTAGCTCCCACCTCCATGTTAGCTTTGGGTTAGCTTCAGGTTAGCTTGTAGCTAGTTCGACCGGGTGTCGTCAGTTGATCCCAGCCTTACAGCCCCACCCTCAGCTCCACCTCTCTTCCCTTTTGTGGAATTGTCTGGGCTTGACGGAACCTGTGACACGGTCAAAATGGCGGTGGTGGCCACCTCCCATTTTAGCACAAAAACTTATTATTGGAGTGTATGGTAACCCATTGTCCAATATTTATATGTCGATGGTCCACACACACACACACACACACACACACACACACACACACACACACACACACACACACACACACACACACACACACACACACCAGCTAACAGTAAACCTGAATACTTTTTCTTAGTGGTGTTTTTGACAATTATCAAGAAATTATTCTAGTCAATTTTATGTATAAAGTATTTCTATACTCTGTCACGGTGAGTGTTGGTTTTGGACCCATATGCAGGTGAGTGAAGTTCTAAGGCAGCAAACTACTTAAATCCATTTATTGCAGGGACTTGGGAGTGCAGGAACAACAGGAACAGAAGCACGTTCACATGGGGAGACATAAGACGAGGTCAACAGACATACCGACAACACACAAGCAACACACAAGGCTTATATACATACTGGGATGGGTAATCGGGTAACACGAGGCAGGTGGACACAATTAAGGTAAAACCCAAGGCACAGGGGAGCAATAATGTGACAATCTCTCGACTGGGAAACAAGAGTGTTGGACACACAAGCATTTGTTTGCAATGGTTTTAAACTGTGGTACTTATGTTCATGTTTTATGTTCAGCGACCTTGAGCGTCTTGAAAGGCACTTACAAATACAATGTATTATTATTTATTATTATTTCAGCTTCAGCTCGCTCCTCTGTTGTTCCTACTGGGTCTGAATGTTTTACTGTCAGTGTTTACCGGTTCTTCTTTTAAGTTTGCTTCGAACCAGAAATACTCCCAAACTGCAGAAGTTGTGTTGTTTTTAGACACCAAGTCAACTGGTGCGTGAGCTGCCATTTTTCTCTTGGCACATCATCTCTGCGCTGTCATGTGATGACATCACGTTCATAAACTTTATGGAATGTCTCGAAATTTTGGACAAAACATTTAAACTATTTAAGCAAAACTGAAAATGTTACCACACATCTGTTTTAGTAAGTAAGTAAAGTAAGTACATTTTATTTATATAGCACTTATCACAGACATAGAATCACAAAGTGCTTCACATAGATCAAAACAAAATAAAACAAAGTCATAAAATCATAAATAAACATCATAAAATCAAAATGCTCTCAAAAAAGAATTAGATTAACATCAGAAAAAATAAAGTCATCAAATTATAAAATTTCATAAACAGATGAAAGATTAAAAATTTGAGTTCAAAATAAGAAAATAAAGGGTTTAGGTAATAGCAGCTTTAAATAAAAGGGTCTTTAGCTGTTTATTAAGTGTCCGGACGTCAACGCTGCGTAAGGATAAAGGAAGATCATTCCAGAGTTGGGGTGCAACAGTCTGGAAGGAGCGATCACCTCCACTTTTGTATCTGGTCTTTGGAAATTCTAGAATGTTCTGGTGGGTGGACCTGAGGGCTCGAGTTGGAGCATAAGGCTTTAACAGTTCAGTAATATAGCGTTTGGTTGAGATTTATGTAACAATATTAAATTACTTTAATATATCTTTTTTATTTAATCCTCGTCTCCTACGTGCACTGTTGTTTTCATGATGGTATTGGAATGGATACCGTTGTTATTTTTTCCAACACCGGCTGTATACGGTAATACCGCCCAAGGCTAGATGAGAGCAATGCACATCAACAACTGAGCAACACATAAAACTAGTTCAAACGTAAGGGCAGATATAACAACACATTAAAAGAAAAAAGATCAAGTAGAATATGCACGCCTGAATAAATGAGTTTTAAGTACCAATTTGAAAGTTTGGGTAGATGAAGCTACGAATACCTAGAGGAAGTTTGTTCCAAAGCTGCTGTGCCGCTGAACCAAATGACCTGTGTCCCATGGTGGACAGACGGTGCATGGAACTGTGAGGAGACAGAGGAAGAACGAAAAGTGAGAGATAGCAGCCTTCTGTTTTGAGCCTGTTATTAAAAAAAGACGATAACGCACTTTTCTGGTGGAAAATGTGCTGCCAGTCTTCGCCAGATGTCGCGACTAGCCCCAAAGTGCCCTTGTGTCTGTGCCAGAAGCTCATCAAAGCGGGTCCACAACGTCCGTTGAAGCTGGAAAAGGTAAACATCCTGGTTTTTCTGGCAAAAAATCTTTTTACAAGCTGCATTATTTTTTAAAGTTCATATTATGTGTATGTTGTTATTGTTTTAGTGTTTGTTATTCAGATTCTGAATGGTGAAGGTCCAAACCAACAGCTTGGTAATTCAACTTGAGGCTTATGTCATTATTTTAAAGTTGGTCTTGTTAATATCATACACCAGGGATTCCCAAAGTGTGGTGCGCGCAACCCTGGGGGTGCGCGAGCTGCCGCTAGGGGGTGCGCGAGGTGAAAAGTGTGATGGCTGCGGAGCTCAGAGAAGTCTGTCATATGTCACCATTAGCGTAGCAAGAAACTCATTTGTGGGTGGGCCAAAGAGAAAGTAAGTGGGCACAATAAATGTAATTGAAAACAAGTATATTTTTGCGCGCGCGCGTATCCTCCGCATGTGCCCTAGCTTCATAATAACAATGCACCGAGCTTCAGCACTCTGGCCTGCGCACGCCGATATGCTCCGTATTTGATCATTTTTAACGGTGTTGGAGGAATCTGAAGGTGAGTCATTCTGGCAGATTGTAATTAACACCTGTCTCATGCAGGTGTTCTGACATTGTAAACCTCACACACAGGACATTGTGGATGTAACAAAATAACAAGAAATGATTCCCATTCAGGCTATTGACAGCGTGCTGACGATCTGAAGTTCAGAGTGCGTCTGTCAGAGGTCAGACGCGTTCCGGCTGAACCACGGCTCACGGGTGCACATGTGAGCACATCTGGGCTGGGCAGAAGTCATTTTACAACATTGGTTTAAATAGCGCGAGACGCGGTAACTTGAGCGGCTGTGCCGCGCGCGCGCACACACACAGATTCAATAAGCGCACACGCTGCTTTAACTCCGGCCCGCTGTCAGACTGAAGGCAGAAATGAACGCTGCCTCCACCGTGATAAAAACTTTTAAGAGGTTATTTTTCATTCAAGGTCAAATTAAGATATTAGCTTCTGGGATGAGTCGGGTCCGCTCCAGCCAGTGACTCCTCATGAACCTGACCACAAGTCCTGTTACTGCAGCATTTGATATTCCAGTCCGCATGACAGCGGATCGCAGATTGAGCCACACCATAAAACAGCAATAAGTCTGTCTGAGGTAAAAGTGAACATCATGGCTATATCTTGTCCCCTATAGACATTTGATTACGCACAAGTAGGTGATCAGCTCAGGTTTACGCAGAGCAGAAGGAAGGAGAGCGCTCTGGCCGCACAGGTTAAACGTTAGGGATGCACCGATCAGGTTTTTTGCTGCCGATCACCGATACCGATATCAAAGAATGCTGATCACCGATACCGATCACGTTCATTGGCCAGAAATTTTCTACAACATTATAATGAGTGCTACAAACTACATAATCTGGGAATAAAGGAAATGTAACCTAATCTAAAATGGTCTGTATGACCCCCAAATTCCACTACCTCCGCTCCGGTCCGCCCCCGCCCTCAGCAGCCGCTCGCTTCCGAACTCAATTTTTACTGGTACCTGCTCTACAACGGCTCCGCTCCGGTGCGGAGACCTGAGGGGGGCAAACAAGCATGCACAGGATTTTCGAGATCTTGCGATACAGTCCGAGCAGTAAACGCGGAAGTTAGATCCAAACACCCGTTGTGTGGGAGAAACATCGGCATGAACTGTTTAATCTGCCCATCATTTGTGTTGAGAGATCAGCAGTGATTGGATCAACAAAGTGTGACTACTTTGATAGTGGAAACTGTATTTATGGCTTACTTTTGTGCATTTAAACTTCAGCCGCCACTGATAGTTGTTAAAAGTTGTTAAACCTGTGCATATGAAACAAAAAACGCCTTTTGTTTATCGATTTATTGTGAAAAACGGAAATTGTGCTCGCTCCTTTTCCTGTTGGGCCGTTGTGATTTCTGTCCATTTACTGCAGAGGTGCTCCGGCGTCCGGCGAAAATAGAATCGATTCTATTTTTGCCGGACGCCGGAACAGAGGGCGGCGCACGGCGCCGCACTGCCGGAGCACGGCCGCAGTAGTGGAACTGCTCTGATTGACTACAACGGGACCGATTTTGCTCCGGCGTTCGTGTCGGAGCGGAGCGGAGGTAGTGGAATTTGGGGGTAAGGGTTGTCACGGTGTGAAAATTTAACCTCACGGTTATTGTGACCAAAATTACCACGGTTTTCGGTATTATCGCGGTATTTTTTTTAAACGTGCTACATTTTCACACAATTAAATAAACCCTGTATATCAGGAAAATATTGTCCTCAGTTTGTGTCTAAATTTTGCCTAAAATGTGTTATTTTGTAATTATGTTGTTTATTTGTTTACATTTTTTCCCTTTAGTCTTCAAAACACCAATATTTGCCCATAACTTCTTATTTTATGTCTGTTTGATGTCATCATTTTAAAAATATTAGATCAGATGATACTCAGTACTCAAGTAGCCTTCTAATCAGATACTTTTTACCCTTACTTGAGTAATAAACCCTATATCAGGAAAATATTGTCCTCGGTTTGTGTCCTTCCAGTGAGCTTTGCAGATGTGGGAAAATGTCATCAGGCAGTAATCATTGTTAAATTCATAATTATTCTCGGAGAGAGACCAACTCTTATCTGCCCCTGGGAGCCCCGTAATGCATAGCGTCATTTCAACATGGCGGTGTCCGTGACACGGTTTATATGCAGGTAACGGCGCTGCGGCTGCTTTATATAGCGACTCGTTGCATTCTCCCTCAACCCAAATCCTCGGATCACGCATTTTAGCTAAAACGCTAACGTTAGCTTGCCTTGCGTTGACTGTAGAGTTGTGGGTGATGGTCACGCAGATGTGTCATGAGATTTGAAGCGTTGCTGCCTTTCACAGACACTTTTTCTGCACGTGCTGCAAACAGGATAGCCGTCTTCTATCAACTGTCCCTCGGCATTCTTCACATATCTAAAAGATGCCCATACTTCCCACTTTGTCTTCTTTGAGGGATAATAAATGTCCTCCTGAGCGCTGCCGTCTCCTCCTTTGACCATTATTTCAGCTTTAGCTTCAAGAAAGTTTTGTTGTAAACAAAGCGTGCATGTGCCGCCGGCAACTTCAGCCGATGATACGGTGGCTGGTAAGGGTCACCGCGCCTACACCGCAGCCACGGTAAACCCACCAAGATAATATAGTTTTTTTAAAAACAAGACGGTTATTATTGTCAACTTTTTTTCTTTTTTTTTTTTTACCGGGGTTTAGCGCTACACTGGTTACCGTGACAACCCTACGATCAGTCTGCTCTGATCTATTTTGAAAATTCCGATCAAAACCGATAGGGGCGCTATCGGCCGATTACGATCAAATGCCGATCCATCGGTGCATCCCTATTAAACGTTCCTACTTTAAGAAAACCGTTAAATTGCATTGTTTATGTGCTACCTGGGCACTCTAAATATTTATTCAAAATGAAATCAAAGGAAATTGTAATGGTATCTAATGCTTATTAATTACTATTTAAAAAATTAAAGTGATGGGGAATTTTTTTAACCCTTTCTGTTTAGCTTGACATCTTATATATATATATATATATATATATATATATATATATATATATATATATATATATATATATATATATATATAGAGCCATGCCCGGGGGGGGGGGGGGGGGGGGCGTGGACATAGTCGGGACATAGAAGGGGGTGCGCGGCTAAATAAGTTTGGGAACCACTGTCATACACCATGGTAAAATGTGGAGGAAGTTGGACGGTAATACTAATTTGGATACCACCCAAGCCTATCACTTAGTAAGATCAACATAACAAACAGTAATCCTAAAATAGAGTACAGCAAAAGACTAACAGCAGTAAAAACTAGGGATGTGTATTGGTGAAATTCTGGCGATACCATACGAATCACGATACAGGGGAGACGAGACGATACGATACATCACGATATGTTGCGATACATTCAGCCAGACGTTCTTAGCGATAATTTCAGACTGAATTTATTGTAGGAAAATTCAATAAACAGTCCAAACTGATACTTAACATGTTTAACGTGAGGTATCTGAACCATAATAGAGGGATTTACATTTCAATGGTGGAAACAAAACTCATTGTACACTGCTGCCAACTAGCGGTCGGTGTTTGAATTGCACCAAAAGGAAAGAAAATCTTTGCATGTAAATTCTTTCAAAAATTCGATACAAAGCTTTTGAATATCGATATATTGCCATATTGATATTTTCTTACATTCCTAGTAAAAAAAATACAAAATGGTGTGTTCAGATCTTTTCTGCACAAAAAGCAAAAGAATAATTTTGCCTTTTCAATTTTGACTTAAAAGTTGCGAGAGTTGGTGCCTGCCTAATCCTCAAAGGTAACATACTCCATAAAGTTGGAGCAATAACAGAAAATGCACAATGTCCCTGAGTTTTTAGTTTAATCGAAGGGACAATTAGTAGATTTGGGCCAGCTGACTGAAGCGAATAGGATGCATAGCATTCCACATGTCTGTCACCTACATGAGAGTGATGTGGTTTAAGGCTTTATAGGCAAAAAGTATGATTTTAAAGCTAGCCCTATAGTGGATTGGAAGCCAGTGAAGTGCTGCTAAAACTGGGGCAACTAAAACTTTTCACGCTCCCACTGTCCTCATGGGTGACCCCGCCAGGAAAGTTGATCACTGAGCAGGATTGATGGTTTATCCCTTGAGGTCCATGTGGCGGGGTGTGGTGGTGCTCACTCCTCACCTCTTCCACGTGGACCTCAAGGGATAAACCATCAACCCTGCTTAATGGTCAACTTTCCTGGCGGGGTCACACCCGATAGGACAGTGGGAGGGTTAAACACAAATCTGTGATAAAAATAGCAGCTACCAATAAAAATGTGACATTTCAGTCTTTCATTGGTCTGGAGCTCCTCCGCAATGATGGCTTTTTTATTTTAGGTGTAAATATTTACCCTCTGGCTGTAAGATGAGAGATGGAAACAGGAACTGATTTAAAAGTGGATGACACAGCCACTACTGACTGCAGCGATAGTTGAGACCAAAGACACCATGCCTCCATGTACAGGGGGCATTTCACAAATGTTATCAGTTGCTTCTATGAGTTTGTTGGTTTAGTTTGATCTGGGGTTTTTGTGTGCACCATAATGCTCACCATATATTATCAACCAGCATGAAACCCCTGTAGTGCAGAGTAACCCTAGTAACGCCTTTGAAATGTGGTTGGAATGAGTTTCTGTTGGGAGTGGATGAACGTGCAGAATCGGTCTTGTTGTTTGATGTCAGAGTGGAAGCAAACATTGTCAGATCAGCAGACTGATTAGATGCTGTGACATCAGCAGCAATGTGTTCTTTAGCTTTTACAGGTAGTCAGCAGTAGAATCTGTTTGCAGCAGCTAGTAGCAGATTATAATCTCTAGGAAACGAATGAGAACAACAAGTAGGGTAATTTAGACAATGCTGCTTTTCTGCCTGGTTGGGAACAAAAGTGAAACTTGAGTAAAAACAGAACAACTACATACTTGTTAATATTACGATGACATGAAATCATGCTAAAATGTGGTAAACTATCAATTTGAAATGTTTTTTTTTTTTGTAATGAAAACAGGATTTAAGCCATGTAAAAACTATTAAACTGAATCTTTTCTTCTATTTTATGCGGTTACAGCATGACTCAGCGAGACCAAAAAGTCCATTGTTCCTCATTCTGGAGACAAAGAAGGGAATAAATGAAATGGGAAGTCTGGGCTGTTGGGGAGCAGTTTTGTGAAGGAAGCGAACCCTGAGAGTTCAGAAAGACTCCACTGGTTCTCTAAACATCCCAGCCGGAGTTTCCTGGAGACGAGAAAACTCGTGTTGCTCAAATAGAACTAGCTGTTTCCTTTTATGGCTGTGGCTGAAAAGCTGTTCGATGAACAAGGGGGAGGAGGAGTGAAGCAACAGGGAGAACAATTCCTGTACCTGCACTGTGTGTCCGGGGATTTGGGGGGGGGGGGGGGGGGGGGGGGGGTTGTTACCCGCTTCCTGTCAGATTCCTTTGTGTACTTGTGTGAGAGTGCTGCTAAATTCACCTTATCTTTATATTAAATACACACACGTGTGTGTGTGTGTGTGTGTGTGTGTGTGTGTGTGTGTGTGTGTGTGTGTGTGTGTGTGTGTGTGTGTGTGTGTGTGTGTGTGTGTGTGTGTGTGTGTGTGTACATATATATCTATGAGCCACCCGATCACACTCACCTCTGTCCAGCTATTAGAATGGAGTTGGGGGGTGGGGGGTTGCATTCCTGCTATAAGGGAGGAGTAAAGGGAGGAGATGGAGTCCTCAGGCCAGGACCTAATGGAGGACAACCAGATGCACAAGCACACAGTCTCCAGAGGTGAAATGTGATTTCTGATAGTGGAAAATTTTCTCATCTTTAACTGAAGTGTGTGTTTTTCCTCAGACACACTCTGCTAGCTGCACACTTTTAGAGCCAAATAAGAATAACTTTAATTCTAGTCAATAACTTCTGTTTCTATCAGAATCAGTTTTCTCTGTGCATCCGTTTGTTTTAGCTTTCCTGTTTTACCTTTGATTTGGGCCGTTGGGCTACCATCCATGCCGTCCTGCAGCCTGTTGTCTCTGATCAGATCTGTTTTCCTGACTTCAGTCCAAGCTCTTAGAGGAAACCGTGCAGATCAATAAGCACTAATGGTTCAAGTGCTGCTGATCGCAGAAAGACAGGCGGGGTGAGTGTGTGAAGCTGTGGGATAAAAGCTGTGTTTTCCTGCTTGTCAGTTGATACAAAACAAACTGGGCAGAAACCAGTCAGATTTTAGAGCGACACACGTGTTTGCGCTTCAGTT